GGGGGGGGGGTCCAGTTCCAATTCGAGTTCCAGTTCCAGTTCCAGCGGGGTACACTATGACAACCCTAGTTCTTTGCATTGGTCGGCCATCGAAGTCCCTTTATGAGGTCAAGGGAATAGGATATCTCCCGTCTCCAATCAATGGTAAAAGAGCATAACAGTCTTGGATAGGAAAGTCCTGCCTGCAAAGATGCGACAATCAAGTGCTCAGGCACATCTCGGCCAGTTTGTTCAGCACGAACTTTTATGCGCTGGCGGATGGTGTGCTCGGAGGCAGTGATATAAAAGATTGAAACGCCTCAGTGCAGGAAACATCTGCGGGCTGTGTATGTGCCATACCACCAAACTAACAGCCGCAAAGTGGGAGATCTACATCCTTGTCTGCGAAGGTGCTGCTCTCTTTTGCAAAACCCAGTGCTGCCAAAACGCGGTAGTGTGGATGGGTCTGACGAATACGTCGGAAGACCTGCTCATAAAAGCCGGCATCGCGAAGGGAACCATCCACCCAAATGTTTTGCCGCTTCTCCATGGCAGCGGCTTGTGCCACCTGAACACTGCAGGATGGGGCAAAGCTTCGCTCATTTGCTTACTGTACCTTAACATCTTGAGTACAACATGAACAAGAATACCTCTGAGTGATCCGGCTAAATTGCTCTTAAGCCGTGCCGCTGCATCGACATAGAGTTATATACATAGAGAAGGCTTGGCCATGCAACATGCACAAACCCTCCTGTTCCAAGCTCACCCACCTCAACCATAAATGATGACTCCATGTGACACATTGTCCCAGCAGAATCGCGATCTCTTGCCACGTAGTCCGGCCATTCCGGCATCATCATCTTGAAGGCATCTGGATCAATGTGCACGATGTTCTCCAAGGGAAAAAAGCCGTGCTGCGACATCCATGACAATGTGTATCCCTGGAACGGGCACTGCACATGGGCATCAAATCCCAACAATAGTCTGAATGCAGCATGCAAGACTAACCTGTCCAACATACAGTAAATGCCGAACTATCTGTAAGCCTGCATCTAGCCTCGCATCTATCCCAAATGGTTCAACAATTCAGAGAACAGTTTGGTCACTTACTCCTTGCCTTGCCCACCCCCATGGGTCCACATGTGTAGACCAACCAGGGTGCAGGCTGCTCCACAACACGTGAGATAACACTCTTGATAGCCTCTACAGGACTCGGACAACACATTGTGACACAATTGAACCTCAAGCCAAGCCAGCAAGTCTCATTACATTCCTGCCTGGTCTTGCCAACGTTGTCTTGTCTCCGTGTAGTTGACATGGTATCCGTAATCGCGAAGCTCCCGGATCTTGCGGAAGCTGCCGACAAAAGTCATTTTCTCCTCACTAAAGACAGGGTTATATGTTATATTTATGCTTATGCTGCACAGGCCTGCCAAACAGCTATACTATGTAATGCTCAGCGTGAATAATTGACAACACATACTCTGAGATTCAGGTCCTCGCGATAGTTCTCCCAAGTGGGCTTGGAGTAGTCATAGTCTTTGTCGGTTACGAAGCCGCTGTCTAAACCACAGCCTTACGGAACTCCCACGAAAAACACCTGAACCAAACCGAAAGAACCAACAAACCACACACCCGCACAAACAATATTAGACAATAAATTCTGTAGTCCTCCAGCCCTGGTTCGTAAAAGAAATCTGCCAAATGTGACTCCTGGATCAACATTCACCATGCAGCTGAGCGTCGAAACCTTGTGACAAAGTTCTGTAGGGTTGTTGCTGCGGGACCGTCTGCCACGGCTTTGGCAAATTCCCAGAACGTGACATTCCCGTCTGCATTTGCGTCAATGGTTTCCTGAGCCACAGCAAGAATAAGGGATCTCTTCACAATGTATATACAGGCAGGTTTACCTTGTTTCGTCCCTGAAGCCAATAGTCACGCCGGGGCACGTAGAGACGCTTCAACTCTCCTTCTTTGAGGTCACTGAAGCCTAAACGTTGTGCCATCGCCTGAAGATGCTCCAGCCTGAGGTCCTGAGTTGCCCAAGTTATTGATATGTTGGGAAATGTATTTCGCACATCTTGGGAAGCATGCGAAATACCCCAAATGGTGTCCAATACATGTTCCTGTATGTTGCTTGCATAGAATATTGCAGCGTTTGAACTCTGCTCTGCTTGAGAAGCCGTTTCTCGTTTCTGAGGCTGCTTCAAAAGCTTCAACATGCCTGAGCACAGTCACAGACGAGCGTTGTCTCGTTTGTTCAACTGTCACTACCCCCTTGAGTTCATAAAGGTGCAGTAAGTAAAGGAGACCGGAACAAGAACACAATGCCTTGCTATTCTCCCTAGCGCTAGGGTGGTCTAGGGCCTAGAGATTGTCTGGCAACAACCGATTGTTTGTTCTGCTGCCAACTGACACGAGGCTGGTGCTCTCCACAGCTTCTTGGTAAAAGTGCTTGATGATTTCCATGGCATCACCGCTTCTGCTGCTTCTCCGAAAGGCGTCCCCCGTCAAGGTGCTGCTACATGCTTCAGATTTTAAGGACAGTGACATCATGGTGCCACTCCTCAAGTGAAGCGTGCGTGAAGCTTTATCCTTTGCAGGGCAGGGCGATTGAACCGGCATTCCGAGAAACTCATGGAGAAGGAGATGCGCACGAACGGTTTACATCAAACTTCCCCGAACTCTGAACCTTGAAGAGCTCTGCAGGATCCGCATCATCGTTCTCAGAATCTTCTTCACCCCCTTCATTCTGGATGTCCACTGCTGCGTAGTAGTCTTGCCCGCTACAACTTTTGCAACTGGCACTGCAGCCCATCTCCTGACAGGGAAATCACTGCCTTCAAACATTGCTAACTTGAAAGGCCTAGTAGGAACAAGGACGCTACTAGGAGCAAAGGGCATCGCTACTAGGAGCAAGGATGCTACTAGGGGCTCTTGGCCTTACTGCTAGGAACAAGAAGCTAGTAGAAACAAGTGCATCGCTACTAGTAACAAGTGCCTTACTAGTAGTAACAAGGACGCTAGTAGTAGCAAGGACGCTACTAGTGATAACAAGGGCATCGCTACTAGTGTTCCAGCCTCGATCGCTCGGTCTCGAGACCAAAAGAGTGCCTTTGGCACTGGTGAAACTCGTATCGCTACTAGGTATTTGGAGCCTTTTGTACTGGTTTGGTTTATCATGGTTTATCTGGTAACCGTTCGGCTGAAGTATTCTGCATTTGGGTTGGACGGTTAGGCCTAAATTGGTCCTCTAGTTTTCTGACACCCACATTTCAATTGTGTCAGTTTGCTCGTAATACTTGGGCCAGGTTCCGAATGCTGTTCATCCATCACATGGAATGATGGTGGCTTGATCCGGCACATGTGGTCCCAATTGCAGGCCGGCCAAAATTTGGTGAATGGGATAACACCCAGTGAACGTGATAAAATGCACTCCCCTGCAGCGACAAACTTGCTGCACCAAAGCTTAGCTTTGAGCGTGTTGAGCAACTTGGGGCTCGCAGCCCGCTCAGCATTTTCCGTGGTGGTGTATGCCGCCACATAGCCACTTAATGCGAAGAATGCCCCAACCTGAACGAAAGATTCTAAATTTTGGTTCGTGTCTTGGTGTCCTCCCACCTGTGCCAAGTAGTTCTGCATGCGCAAAATGCAAGGTCAACATGGCACACTTGTATCCCTTGTATGGTTCTGGGCCCATAACAACCACGTTGATCTGCGAGATCGCCTTCCATGCCGTTGAACAATAAATAAAAACAAACTTGAGAAGACGTTTCATCGAGTCCCAGGCTTTAAGTGCAAAAGGGCCCGGAGCCGCGAACGTGATGAAATGTCCACACCTCAAAAAAATTGGAACGACTAACCCAGTATATGCGTGGCTGGTTGCTTGGCGCTCAACACGATGTAGGCAATCAGGAAAAACCGTATAGAGTCAAATGCTGTAATTCGCACCTGCTCGTGCCAGAGTCAAATGCAGAATCTGACCATCCAAACATAAGCAAACTATCCCATATTGTGCCTTCTTTGGTTTTGGTGGTGCCGCTTCTGTCTCTGATGATTCCGCGGCCCTGAGCATGACATAGATTGGTATATATATATACGAAGAAACATACCATAATAAACTACCATGCCTTTAATATAATACAAGTTTTGGTCTGGTTCCCACACCGGAATGTAATAGAAAACCAAAAGCACAGCGAAACGGCTAGCTTTTGTGACATCAGTTCAGGCCAATGCATTCGATGCTGGAGCTTCAGCCTCTCCACCTTCCATTCCATTGGCCGTGGCGGCACGCAGGGGTCGACGGTCAAACCACTAGTTTTTTCTTGATGTTTTTTGATGATGTCAGCCCGGGCTCAACTTCATGATCGAACAAGCCAAATTGCAAAACGAGACACTAAATGAACACTCTTGTGAGACACGAGTGCGGCGCTCTTGTAGGACACTCTTGTGGGGCACTTTTGCGGACACTTCTTGTGCAAGAGTGGTAGCAGGCGTTTTGTACAAGAATCCCTCCAAAAGTCATGTGTCAAGTCTCCAAACCGAGCGTTTTGCACAAGACTTCCTCCAAATGTGAGCCTGGAGGTCTCATCAGAGCGAACACACCCCGCAGCCGTGCACGCTCCAAGCAGTTTTGCAACCCAAATCCCTCGGAACAAAGCCTGCTGACATGCCAATCCCGAGGGCACAGCAACAAACGGCTGTACCAAACGTCGCGAGCCCACAATCGGCAATGCAAAGTGCCTTCCCGCACCTCCAGCTGCCTCCAACACACAGAAAACACAAGCACTGCGGCAGGCCCGCGACAAGTGACTATGTCGTACTATGTCATAGTCTCAGCTGCACACTGCCTCGAGATGTCTTGCAACATTTGCACCCCACCGCACGTTTGGAATGATTTCGGCACTTCGCTGCTTCACCCGCATCCCTCAAAAACTCGACACCAAAACACAGCTTCGAGGAAAGCTCAAAGAGTAAATCCAACAGGCACAGAATCACTCAATACCTCCAAAAGGCCCATCCCAATCCCAATCCCGGCGGACGAAACACACGTAAATCATCCTTGGGCGGTCATGTCGCTGTGCTACGCATTCGGGCAAATCGTTGGTCGTGGCGTAACGAAGGAAGGGCACATCGATTAGGCTGGAGACCTCTGGAAACTGTTGAATGCCACTAGCATTCCTTGTTATTGCCTGTGGGCATTTTTGAGTATCACGCACTTTAGTCAGATTCCCAGGAAGAAGGATCATGGGTCCTGTTCTTCGTGGTGCCTGCTTGGTTGCCATCATCTCTTGTATTGGAGCATGTGGCGCTACATTGGCAGCCACAAGTCAACGTTCCTTTTCTCCTGAGGCTTTTCTCCTGAGGCGCAAAGCCTGCCCCAATTCTTCGGCTGCAATGTGGAATGCATGAGGTCCAAGGAAAAACATCATGTAGAGACTGGAATTGTGCGCTACTAGCGACATTGGTGACAACACTTATATATATATATATATAAGGACTCGTGTGACACAATGATGTCTGCGGTGTGCAGTTTGGGCTGATAGAACAAGTTTTGAAGCAGCTTGGTGACTGCAGGAAAGCACTCGTGCAAGGGGTGTAAGTGGTTACCATTGAAATCGCCCATTAACAGGTGCACATCATTCGATTTGCAATTAAGGATTCAATTGTGTGTTCATGTGCACACTTGAGTAGCAACGGTGTCTTCCTGAGGTTGAGGCACTTGCTGTGGTAGCTGCAAGGAGGGCACCAGCTGCAACAAACGAAGTGCGACTTGAGAATTTTGGCTCCTCATCGAAAACAAGCGCAACAAGTGTGACGAGTGTTGATCATCAATGTGAGTCATGGTGATGATGCTGTGGCATGCTGTGGCAGAATGCATGGCAAACAATAGCTGCTGTGGCTTCTAATCTGTGGCATTCGTTGTCCAGATTGGCTGATGGTTCAAAATCCTGCATGCCCAACTCTGCGCCATGCGCATACACCTGGCGGATTTGCTGTCACGAGATGTTCCGGCAAAATCAAGTTCTTCCATGCCCCTGGCATCAGTGCCGGTTGCATCCAGCAGCTTTCCTCGTGCTTGTGGCACAGCAAAGGTGCAACCTGCCATGAACATCAAAGGAACCCATGCAGCAAGCTACAATGTGCACCATGACCTTTCAGTCACCTTCAACACATGTTGGATCGGCATTGTGACCTGAATTAGATTCAACTAGTGTTACAATGACGTGCCTTTATCAAAATGGTGCTCTGAAAGCAAGCATTTGGGACAGTAAGTTCGCCACAGTAGAGACCAGGCCGAAGCCGTCGCCAAAACTACTAGCACCGTTCCACGCCTTCCGCGCCTGGAGGGATCACTGGGGGCATTTGTAATATTTCAACAATGTCGAACGTGGCTGGAGCTAAGTACGGCACCATGCATGCACGGGGCCATTGCAATACATTGTCATTGTTATGAAACTTTGATGTCAACAAGCAAGCAGCTTCTCCCAATTATTTGATGCTTGGATGCCTCAGGGTTTTCAATGCCAGCAATGCAATCATTCGCTTCCATTGCGCCTCACCTTGAGCCAGCACAGCCAATGCCAAGCGGAGTGCAATTGTTGATAAGGATGCTCAAGTTGTGATGCGATCTTTCCAATGCAAAATCGCTTTTCGGATGTTTTTGGAAGGCATTTGCCCGGCTCTACGCGAGGAGTGTCTTGCATCAGCAGGCTTCTCCAACAAGAAAAGTTACCTCATGACTAGTGACCAATGTCATTGATCTCAAATCTTGGAGTGTCTTGCCAGCATTCTAACAACTCTAACAACTCTACGACAGCAGTCACAAATCAACCACCATGCCTTCCTCAACGATTCTCTCGCTCGACTTTCCTCCACCTTCGACTTTCTTCTCTGTGGGCTCCTCGAAGGGCAGGTCTAGCCGGCAATTAAGAAACACAAGATTTAGACTTTAGACCTTGAAGCACCTGACATTGCACAACACATTCGAACAATCATCCAACATCAATGGTAAAACTATGTCAAAAAAGAGCCAGGCCTGCAGGGAGTTTGACACTTTGCTAGGGCTGCAGGTGCCGGAAAAGGATGTCGGAGTTTGCGTTGTCGCAGTTCCAAGTGCCTTCTGACATTGTACCAAAAAAACAACTGCTATGCGCAAACAGATTCATAAATATTCAAAATCATTGCAACGTGGTTGGAGCATTGGCTATTGTGCTTCAATACCTCTTCCTGAGCTGCGTGGGTGGTGGCTGCCGAATCTGTCACCGACCTCGAGAAGCAGCTTAGTTATATACTGAAGCTGTGGCGCTACCCACTGTCCTCTGGGATCTCTGGGTAGCTTCTCAAAGCTACAAAGACCTTACGCTGTTAGACCAACTCGTAGCTGAGTCCCAGCATGGTTGGAAATTCCTGGCCGTTGAGTGAACCAGCGTTCAAAAGATTAGCCTCTGCATCTGCGACTGCCCAAAACACATGACAAATTCTTCAGCATACACTGGCAACACTACGGCCGTGTGACAACACTTCTCAATTTTGGCGTTTCACGGCTTGATCACAGTCTTTCAAACGGGATTGGACATGGCTACAAATCAACCAGGACCCAGAATCACCTGATGCTTTCCGGACACATCCAAATTCATGGACATTTTAAGGGCTCGACTGTACATGTCCCTGTCCCTGTGCAATTGGATGCTTCAGTGGTCGGCTGAATTCTGCTGACAAATCGATGACTTGCCAACAACACCTCAGCACGATTTCAGCAGCCTTGGGGCTGTGCGTGTGGCTGCAACACAGCTAAGTGTCCATCTATGTGCATCCCTTTTCGCAAAGCTTCTTGCGCATCTGCGCCGCTGCGGAAGACCAGGAAACCAAAGCCTCGGTTTGGGTAGCCATTCTTGGAGCGAAACAGCTTGATTCGTTCCAGTGGCAACTCCAGGGATGTCCGAATCTTTTCGCAGAGTTGGGGGATCTCCAACCTTTGGGGAAGTTCTTGTGCGAAGATTGTGCGTGGCACATCATGCTGCTGGTGCCGCTGCTCGGAAAAGGTCGCCTCTGGTAATTTTGAGGGGGACGGCAGCACTGTTGGTTGAAGCTGCTTGGTTAGAGACAAAGCTCGATCAATCCTCTTCGCTTCAACTTGTCGATCCATACCTCTTAAATGTTGTCCCAGTAGACCTAGGCGCCCTGTCAACTCTGATTCCTGGATAAAGCCACTTCCAGCAGTCATGAGTTCTTTCCAGCGGTCCAGCGCATCGTCATCCATCCAACAGATCTCCTCTTCCTTTTGGCTGAAGGGTGCCAGCTCAAAGGGGCTGCGTGCAGCGACCACATCCGATTTGGTCACCTTGAAACGACCTTTGTAGTCCTTGATGAAATCCTTGCTAAGACGAAACCGCAAGTTGCGGGCCCGCTGCTGGAAGGCCACTCCTTGAAGATCCTGGAGCCTTCGCATCTTTTCGAATTGCACAGGGCCATGGGCCAACAGCACTGCATGTAGCTCCGAGACAAAACACTCCAATGCCAAGTCACGCGCTTCGGTGTCCTCCACACCTACAGCTCCATCAATGACTTGCCAGGATCTCTCTAACGCTTCTAAGACTTTCGGCGCATCGGTCGCCGTATCGTTGACCTTGACCGACCTCGTCGTTTTGAGGACGTCGCGAAGCAAAGATGTCGCAAGATGCAAGGTGAAGAAAGCATCGTCCCGGGCGTACTGCACTTGCCGCTCGGACAAGGTTGCTGCGGCCCAGTTAGAGATGCTGATGTCCCGATCCTTCTCAATACGAAGGCCATAATGTTGTGCTATCTTCTTCAAACCACAGCCTGCGAGCTGTAGCTTTTGAGCTAGCTTGGAGATGTCCAGAATGCCTTCCAAGTTGGCAAGGCCAAAGGAAGTCTGCAGCTTTTGGGCGTCTGCTGAGTCAAAGGAAACTACTAGCTTCGTCACAGATCGGTCCATTAAGATCTCTCGAAGTTCCCTCGGCAAAGCTGTGGCGACCAAACAGGATTTCGGCACACATGTGCGTACCAACCAAACTGCGTCTCCAATGGCCAGCTGTAGTAAGGCAACAGGGTTATTCTGGTGCTTGCTTCTGTCAGGAACCCATTCCATATCCAAAGCAAGCACATTTGAATGTTGCACAAGCTGTTTCTTGATCTCTCCCATCGCAGTTGGAATAGATGACTTTACATCAACCAAATGCCATGGCCCTGCGTGTCGATGGAACACATGCTGTGGCATCGCCATGGCAAGGAAAAACACACAAGGGGCTCGGCAAATGGAACTCGATGGCCTGGAAACTGCTTGAGCTTGGAGCAAACAAGCTTTGCTGTTACCACTGTTGGTGTTTTGCTGCCACATGTGACAAACCAAACATAGCCAGAAGCACCGAGACAGGACGACGCCAGGCTTCCTACAAATGTCAGGAAGATTCAGAAGAAGCATTCTAAACTCAGAGTGCAGCAACCGCACAGGTCCATCCAGCCTCTATTTCATCTTGGGAAGCCTGCATCTCTGAGCCGTCAAGCCCTTGAGACATTTCCTCGAGCACGCTGAACACATGCTCCTGCCGTCTCAGTAGATTCGCAGTGTACTACCAATTCATCTCTCTCTCTCTCAATATATATATATATATGTATATAGACATGGCATCACGATGACGAGAGCAAATCTGAGAAACATTCAGTGGCAAACTCAATGTTCTGAGTTCTGAGCATGACCGTTCAAAAGAAACATCAATGAATGTCATCGAAACTTATAACCTTAGGAATCTACGGCTGGGATATGGACAATTTAAACTGACCATCTGCATTGAGCTGGAGTTCCGTGGTGGTCCATCAAACCGGACACTTACGGAAATGCTCTCCTTCTTGGGTTTTACCGATGGCATTGCCACAACCACCCGGCTCCACGATGAATGTGATTCTGTCAGGTCTCATCGCATCAAACACTGCAAGACTGTCTAAGTAACAAACCACAGGTTAAAGTTAAAGTTCTAAGTAACAATCACTTTTACTAATTTAATTAGACGTTGCTACATTCCTACACTACTTATTACTACTGCTACTGCTGCTACTACTACTACTCCTCCTCCTCCTGCTGCTGCTGCTGCTATGCCTACGACTGTGACTACGCCTGTCACAACTACTAGGACGACGACGACTACTACTACTACTACTACTACTCCTACGACCACTGCCTACCACTACCACAACCACAACCACCTCCACCACTGCAGTTACATACCAGTACAACTAAGATTGGGAGGATGACCTTAATTTATGTTTGTCGGGGTCCCCTTTCGTATGTCTACGGCCAAGGGTCCTCTCTCACGCTTTGCTTGTCTGTTCGTCTCGCTTTGCTCCCTTCAAGGCTTTCAAAATTCTTTTGCTTGGGCTCCTGGCAGCGAAGCTGAGGTTCGCCAACCAACAGTATGACCCAGCACTGAACAACGGTCCAAACTGTCTCACACTTAAAGCCCCGCAATGCCCTGTGTAGACAGGCCCACCAACAGTCAGCGATGCTCGACCGCTTGTTGAGTGTTGCCATCACTCTGCCAACATCAACATGGGAAACTTGAGGGTCGGCGGGCTTTCTTGGACTTATGCCTTAAGTATGCTTAAGTCGGCGTTTTTGAAAACCCACGTCTGGAGCAAGCATTGGTCCTAAGGCTAAACGCAGGCCGCAAGGCTCCAGGCCCGTGAGGCGGTCTTTCCCCAGCCTGCAGGCTCTTATCCTCCTTCAGACTCTTGAAGTTTTGAGGAAACCCCGTCTGGAATGCCTGGCGAGGACAATGGATGGCAAAAGTAATCCCAGTTACTGTAGAACTACCGGAACACGTTCACACATGTCCCACATGCCTGGGGGATTGGTGTCTTCTCCTGAGGCGGTGGTTGAGTTGGGCTAGCTCTGCTTCCCAACCTGCCAAAACAAACTCACACAACAATCCAGGAAATGTGCAGGGTATCAACAGGCCTTGACCCAATCTCTTGCCGCAATGGCACGAAGCCTTTGTGGACACTTTGTCTTGTTCCCCTTGTGTTGCCAACCCCGGTCGGCTGAAAGAAGCACGAGGCGCGAGGCATGCGGTCAAAGGGTCGAGCCAACATCTCCCTCCATTCGGCCTTCAATCTTCACCAACATGTTGTGAAAGATGTGTCACTTCCCTCCCAAGCACAGAAGCACAAACAAACATGAGACAAATCCTCGCTGAGTTATGTGCTGCAACTGCTTTCTGCGTCTTGCTCCCTGCCGGGCTTGCTCTTCCACAGGATGGCCTTGCAACACACTTGGCCACGGGACTTCATGCACACAGCTACACGAAATAAAGTTGACGCACAAAAAATAGGTCTTCTATGGTCTTATAAGCTCAAGACGTCCGTGAGCCAGGTCTAGGCCTGTTGACTTCCTTGGCGGTTTCAATTCAAACAAGCTTACCAAAATCAAAGCCAATTAACTAAATTGGATTCCTGCAAGTTCTTGCAGTAGTAATAACAATAAAATCATGTGGGAATCGGATGAACAGGTTCTTTTACAGTGGGTGATCTCTTCAAGTGTCAATTTGACAAAGGAAATGGACGTGGCTCAAGTGAGGGTTCCAGTGTCAACCAAGCCACAATCCGAGGCTTTGGGCAGGAACCTGGGGATTGTCCTCTCCACAGTGATGCCAAACCCCACATGAGAATCATGAGATCATGCTTGGCTTGTGATTGGATGTCTTCTGATCGAAAATTGCTGGATCAAAACTCGCACGAAAAAGAACCGTCCTTGAACCCCTGGATGCGAGGCTGATTGCGCCTTGGCAGGGCAAACAACTGTTCAGTTTGAAACCAAGGACTTTTTTTGCCCTGACAGAAATGCTGTGCTCCCACAAATGAACAAATGGAACTTTCTCGCAATTTTTCAACCCTTTGCTGCACAGCTGAGTAAGCCACCCTTCTCTTGACGACTGAGTCCGCTGAGCACAGCCCGCGTCGTTTGGCCAAGGATGCCAGGGCCTCTTCCTCCAGCTGCCTGGCCTGTTGAAAGAATTCTCTAAGCTCCTGAAGAAAACAGAGCAACATTTGATCCAAATGGTTTGAACTGCAAGTGCCGCAACATATGGGACCAAAACGTCATTTAAACATTTTCTGTCAATGCATCTGCAAACGGCAATTGGATGCAATTGGCCGTCCTTGGCTCTGCATGGGGAATCCTGGGGTAGACAGGATTCCCATGGAAAGAGTGGATGTGATGGCTTTGCACTTATTGGAAGAAACGTCTTCTTCCTGCTTTCTGGTCTCCACCCAAAGTCTGGAAGTGTGGCCTCACGAACTCATTCACAGCGCCGCAGGGGCTGAATGACGCCCTTGTTTGTGAAAGAAACATCTCCGCCAAGTGGAACACAACATTGCATCTTGGACATTCTTGGTACTAAATGTGCCACATCCTGTGCCTTTCCCAAGTCTTGGTGTCCCTGTGCTGGATCTGTGTTGTCGGCTTCCTGATTCCTCTGCGATCCAAACAGCGCGGCTTTCATGAGCGCTCTGATTTGCACCCATTACAGTAATGATTAATGAAATTCACATGCTGTTTTCTGATGTTTTCTGCCACTTTGCAATGCCAGGCAAGTTTCTGCTCCCGCACTTTGGGTTCTTCTTTGCCCAACAGGCTTCCAAGAGTCGCCCTTGGAATGCCAGCACTCTGCATCACAAACCGTTTCAACAAGCGGGGCTGGGATTGCAACCAGCAACAGGAGGAACTCTCAACCCCAAAGCCAAGAGGCTGCCTTTGTTTCACAACACTGTCGGTCAGTTGCTGCTCTGGACATGGTGCCAGGTGCCTTGGTAGCCTTCAATCCTCCCAACACCCCCAAACACACTTCGTTGTTGCAAAACCTGCACTCTTGCAAAGCAAGTGGCAGCATCCTGTGTAGTTTCTTGGGCACTGAAGCGACTGCGTGTGCTTTCCACTGAGAAGACCTTGGCGTCACGTTGCCAACTCCAAAAAGCATGAAGCAGGCTGTGTTGGCCGTTGCTAGCACAAACAAACAAAAATGATCAAACGGTATTGTTGGGATCTCAGGACCAAACATCTCAGCCAAACTTTAACCGAGTGGCAGCAGGACCATGCTTTCCCAGCTGGGCACGAAAAGCAGAGATGTGGGTCTGCAACCTAGTGATGTGATCTGCACCTGACCCCAACTTTGACAGCTGGTCTGCGTCCAGTCGAAGCAACTTCACTCCGTCAATGTCCTGATCAACAACTGCTCGCACGGTGCAACCTTTGGAATGATATCTTTAGTGCTCAACATGCAAACCTCACACAACAAACGCACGTCTATAAGGAAAGGCGCCGCTTCGCGGAACGCATCTCCGCATGGAAGCTGCAAGCACTGCTCCAACCAGTCTGCAACATCAGCGGCCGTCCATTTCGTGACGTGCGCCATCACTCGCTCTAAACTGTTGTCGTGCTTGATATTGAGCTGGTCAATTCTAAGTTGTCTTGGGTGCAAACGCAGTAGCGAAATTATTCAGCTAATTCCCCTACAAACATTTCTCAATCAGGGACATTGAAGTTTGGAACCAAAAAAGGCTCATGGTGGTTCATTGGTTTGATGGGGTACTGCCCCATTTTCACACGGTATGTAGTGGGCATATATAATACATATACCTTTAATTGGCCACTTAAAGTTTCGAGCCGAAAGTGCAACAACACCTTTTGTCAATATACTCGGCCGGGCGCTACTGCAGGACAACCGATCCCCGTGCAAGTGAACGCTGGGCAAACGGCACACGCGCCCACCCTGCCATGACAAGCAAATCACAAAAACAACCACAATCGAGGGCATGTTTTGGACAAAACACATGGTGTTTGGGCTTTCCATTGCAGGAACATAACTCCTTGTTGAAAATGGTTGCGCGTTGAAATTCAACCCAAACCTGAGCCCCAACCAAAATTTGCATGATATTGAACTCTGCCATGAGGCGGGGCAGAAACTATTTCAGAATCAAACTGACCTTATTTGCCTGCACGTTGCCAGTGATCTTGCCCCCTTCAACCGTCACACTCAAGAACTTGTTTTGAGATCCTCTGTGTAATGACCGGTGCATGTCGGGCATCCCATGTTTTGGTTAGGTTGCGAATTTATTTCTGGATTTTTTTCGTGTTTTTTTTAACTTTTTTTGTTTTTCGTGTTTCGTGGCAGGTGCAGTACTTTGTGGACCTTGCAAAGCACATTTCGTGGCAGGTGCAGGACTTTGTGGGCCTTGGAGTGCAGAGTTTGTGGCACGCGCAGGACTTTTTGTGGGCCTTGAAGTGCACATTTCGTGGCAAGTGTAGTACTTTGTGGCCCTTGGAGTGCAGATTTTGTGGCAGGCGCAGGACTTTGTGGACCTTGAAGTGCAGATTTCGTGGCAG